TGTAATAACCTGTAAGTTTGTCTGCTTCATACCGGAGCAGCTTTTCAAATCTCCCACGCACATATGCTGATTGTTTCTGTGTGCATTTTTGAACAGTGCTGCCAGCTTTTGGGGTTTGTCAAAAAATATCTAGGTTTAAGCGGCAAGAGATGAAAAAATCGCTAAGCTTTATTTAGGGAAATGCTTTAAAAAAATGCATAAAAGTTTCAGATCAGAACCCAATTTACATAACATTTATTGCTTATGCATTTTTTTTTATAGAGTTTAAGAAATACTGATTTGGTTAATTATTCTCTTAAGCTTGGAGTTTGCCTGAGCCGGAACCAACTGCATGTTTAGCTGGCAAAGTGTTGCCAGATCGCTGAACATGTTATCGCTGCCAAAATATCGAAGTGCTTTCGAGCACTGTTTAAGCATTTATGATGCCGAATCGAACACTAATTACACTGAACACTGATTAGGAAAAACGGATAAATAATTTTATTGGGAAAATATTGATAACTATCGGTGCCATGCTCTTGATAAATTCAAAAAGCACGCTTTACCCAATGCTTTTTTTTGCATATTTTCTATTAAAATTATTTACCAAATTGGCTAAGTAGTAATTAATATCGTTATCATGCTATCGATAAATGCAAAAAGTACGACATACCCACACTGTTTTTGTCTCTTTCATTTGATTTAAATATAAACTGGAAAACGTAAAATAAAACATTTTCTGGCTATTTTTACATATCTACCGCACAGAAAAGCCAGATTCGGCTATAAAAAAAGCGGAATAACCATGCTGTTTATGAGCAGCATTTGCCTGAGTCATGATAATGTCATGCGATTGTTCTGTGTAGCAATCTCTGCGTGAGACTCTGTCACACGGATTGTCTCAAATGCTGTCGCATATTCTTCGCCTGCGATTTGGCTGGTGCCACTTGAAACGTCAATCATGGACTCAGTCGCTCAGAAATCCGTTTTCCGCTTGTCATTTGCCGATTGAATTGAGCTCCGTCCCCGCCAGCTACCCATTCCTATACTCGTTTAAAGACATTTAATGCTTGTCGTCTGATAACCAATTAGAACACCTTTCGTTTCGATAATCCTCAACAGCTTTTTAGACATCCTCTCGTGCTGCTCACCAATTAAAAGTGTGTGCTCGAAAATTGTTCAACTGCATGTTTTTACGCCTCATTAGGCCCTGCTAGGCAGGGTGAGGGGATAGAGGGGAAGTTGCCAGCTAACCAAATATGCGAACATATATTTTCTCATTTGTCGTGGCGCGCCACAAATGGAAAGTCGATGAGCAACTTTTTAGCAACATTTTCGCATTTTCCAAAAATATTTTTTACCCATTTGTCGACGTCTGTTGCTTTCTTGCTTTTCTATTTTCTTTTCTGTTTTTTTTTTTAATTTTATTTTTTGTCTGGTTCTTCTGGTTGAACTCGCTTCTTTTGAGTTACGGGCCATGCATTGGCAGGCAAATTTATTGGCAAATTGGGAGCACAGTGCTTTTCCTTCTGTGCTCCACTCGATGGGTGGGCCAAAAGCAAAAGGCAATGCCAAATTGTTGCTCCTCAAGCAGCAGAACTAATGTACGTGTGCGTGGGTGTCTGTGTGGGCTTGTGTGTGCGGCTGGGTGTGGGACTGGGACTGTGTATAGAGATGTGTGTGAAAAGCACTTGAGTGTATTTTTTACAGCTTGTCATGCCCTTTGCTGCAGTCAAGTATTTTAATTTTGTTACGAAATGTGTTACGCTTTAAGAGAGACGAGTGCCAACTTTAAAGTGTGTATTGCTTCAGAGCTGACTTTCTACATTAAAGTCTAAATTGCTTCATATTGATCGAACAGCTCATTTGTAAATCATAAACTAACCTTAAGAAAGGCGAGAAGTGCGTGAACTTCACAATTAATCTATATGAAAAACAGGTTCATTTTAATAAGTTTGCAATTAAAGGCTAGTTTATAATGCTTTTGACATTTTGTAGCTAGGCCTATGTCTGCAAGGGTATTTGGTATTCAGCATTTGGCACATGCCGCTTCATACTTGTTGTTTATGTTATTTTTATTGATTGAAAATAACTTAGTGCCGCTTTATGTGTTGTACTGTGCTGAGCTGGGAATGGGAAGGCAGCACGAAATAAACTCGACCAGTTTATGCCAAAGGTATGTAAATAAAGTGAAGACACGACGTGCCTCAGTCCTTTGGCTGGACGCGACGGGCACTTGTACTTGGAAAAGAGGGAACTGCTCAACTGGGAACTGAGGAACTGGAAACCCGGGAGCAACTGCCCCTGGGCATTGTATGCAGCTTTAATTTATTGAGCATCTTGCGATAATCTTTAACATAATCCGATGTGAATGTGTAGTGAGCCTCCAGAGAGGAGGAAGAGAAAATGACAGGCACTGACTGAGTGAAGGGGAAGAGGACAGGAACAGCTTCTGTACAAGTGCCTACCAAGCAGCTGCTAATTAAGTGCGCCGAGTCTGGGTCCTTTAACATTAATGAGCTGCATTTGAGGGTCGTCCGGGACAATGGGTGCCCGCAACGAGCAAGAATTTTGTGGCCTCGTTCCCCGACTGAGGTCGGGCGGGCCAAAGTGCAGGCCGGGGGCGTGGCTGCCTCATTTGTCACCGGCTCGTTTATAAGGTCGCATTTTTATTCATTTGTATTTTGGGTTTTGCTCCGCATAACTGGACCATATTAATTAGCTTGATTAAAATGAATATTTGCGCAAGTATTTTATTTTTATTTATTTTTTGCTGTCGCCAGCTGCTGCCAAAAGGGAAGCGCCGCACACAAACGCACACACACAATAAATAAACACTTCTTGGCTATTGTTCTCAAAGTGACAGGCGCCGGCCCTAGGTACTTCATGGTCCATGTACCGCTGTAATAAACCAAATGTAAGACTTACCAAACTGCTAGGTTTTATTGATGCGGCACACGCGACGTATGCGCAATGTGCGGCCGAGGAAAACAGCCGGTGACTGGCTGACTGGGCGATGGGAGAGGAAAGAGGGGTGGGAGATGGACGGAAGGCGTGCCTGGTAGCGACGTGTCGGCGAGATAAATCTTCATGCCGCATCCAAGCCATTGCAAAATGGAGCCATGAAAAATGTCGGGAGCATTCATTCGGCATGGCTGCGGATGCCGCCGTCAACGCCATCGTCCCCTCCATCGCTGCCCACAGGGTCGGCACCGCCTCCATTGTCCCAGTTGTCCCTGTTTATTTGGACGATTTCGTTTCATGTGCAGCTTTTTATTGTTGTTTTTCGTTTTTACGAGCATAAAGATAAATTCACACGATCCGGCTGCGGGAGTTCGAGCTCGACAGCAGGTCGACCAGGTCAGCACCGTTTCAGTTGTTGGCCTCTGGAGCGTCTTGGTATTTCGTTGATGCGATTTTATTTATTTATTTATAGTAACAAATTGCAATGTCAACTTAATCACCGAACTCTATTAGTTTCGGCTCTTTGTTTCTGCTGCTAATACTGTTGCTGCTGTCGCGGCCATTCTGGCTTTTATTCTGCCGGAAATGAACATGAATGCGTTGAGCAGCGGGAATCTTAGCCGTTTTCTCAATGTGTTTTACTCTTGTTGGCTTTTTTAAATTAATATATTGCTAGAGCTTCACATTGACGGTAATCGATAAGATATCGATATTAATTTCGTTTTTATTTTATATATTAATTGACTTGTCGATAACTTATCGATATTATTTTTGTTAAATTACCAATTTTGTTTTAAAATTTATCGATTTGCGTCACAAATCTTATGTGCTCTGCTTACAAATTTCGATTAAATAATAGGACGTAATTATCGGTATATTATGGATTTTTATCGATGAGTTATCAACGTATTTCATACAACTTTTAAGCAGTGCTTAAAGCTTACTATCGATTTAAGTCAATAATTTATCGATTTGTTTCAATAAACATGTGTGCGTAGATAAAATTTGATGGCTGGGGATAACTAGTTGACACTATTTTTGATATATTATCGGGGCTTGTCGATAAGTTATCGAAAAAGCTTGAAAACTGCAAGACTAGTTTGCCGAAAGACATGTCTGTATTGCTTGGAAGAAAATGACACGGCTATAAACAAATTTGCAGATATCAACGATTCTGCGTCAAGAGCTTGGTGACAAAGTCTTAATGCCCGCTGCATGTGTTAACACATTCAAACTGAATTAATGCAAACGAAGCGCTAAGTGACGGCAAATTTCGCATATAGTTATATAGCCTTTGAGTAGTCTGGCAACGCTTAAATACTCAGAAAACAGCCGAGCTTATGTAGGCGAAGAAAAGCGGATGCTGTTGGACAACTTAACGAGGCAATACGGCATTTGGCATATGGTTCGTGGAATACATGTTCTACATCATGACTGTTGCTGGAGTTGGGTGGAGCAGATGCCATAAAACACTTAGTTGGGAGGTTTGCGCATTTTAGGCTCAGCGCGAAGCCATATTTTTAAGGGAAACTCATGTTTAACACTATTTGTATTTAGGTTTATGTGTATACATATTTCAACCAAAAGGTGTATTTTCGATAAACTAGCTTATAAGTGAGGAAAGAGTTTTTTATAATATTTTAAATAAGTCTCTATTTATTTTTATTTTTGTCGAGGATTGTGCTTAATTAATTTTACAATCAAATAAGTATTATAATTTCAAGTTAAAAATTGGAAAATTGTTGCAACAAGACGCCTTCAAAGATTTCAAACATCTCACGAATGGCCTTTGACTCAATTGCAGTCCACAATATATTAGCTTTTTTTTTAGCGTTTTTTCCAATTCCAATTTTTGCTTGTCCAAGTCTGGCAGTACTGCTCGGCAGTGCCCCGCCCATGCTGGGGGTAGGCAAACTTATTTTTCGGTTCTATAGAAAGTCATTTCTCTTTGTTTTCGCTCGCACTCTCGTCCCCTCCCCATGCCGCGGCCTCTTAGACTAGCCACCCAATAAAACAAGTTAATTAATTAATCATTATTTTTTTGGCATGGCTGTTCTGGTTTCTGTTGTTGTTTATTGACTTAATGCCGCATCGCATCGATAGTGGGCTCTTGTGTGTGGGGTAGTGTGTGCGGCGAAGTTCGGGTTCAAGGATTACAATGCTAAGACTGAGTCACTTATGCTAGAGTTTCCATTGAGCAGGCTACCAATTGTTACGACTACCAACTACAGCTACGGCTACAACAGAGTTTTTATTTATGCATTTATTTATTTGTATTTTTTTTTTTTGGTGAGACGCATCGTTAGGTGTCGGTTTTTGCTTAAAAGTGGGCGGTTCGAGCACCGTTTGCTAATTAATCATAGATTGTTTTTGGACTTAGCCTATATATTATAGTATTGCTTATGGGATACCGTAGATGGCCACAACCACCTCATAGACGACAACTATTTTGCTCTTTGGCACAAGGGAACATCAAACTTATGCTAAAACAGAGACGGAAACGGAAGTGGAAATGAAAGTGGAGTTTACTTACGTTTTGTGCAACTAATGCAGCAAAGACCTCTACTTAGCCTATGAAGAGCAAAAATTCTAGAATGAGCTTAGGTCGAATCACATTATGGGTCTTAGGAAGAGCCTGATGGAGGGGAGAGAGGGGGGGTTCAAGTAGGGAACTCGTGACTAGCTACTTGTAGAAGGATTACGCGTATCGTAACTTATCCTAATGCGTTTGATTGCTTTAAGCCGATGATTGGTCAGTTGCACACGCGCGCGCTCTTTTCCCTGGCTGGAGGAGGACGTGGCGGGCGCGTGTTTGAAAATAATTGCTTGGTGTTCACATCTAATTGACAAGGATTTGGGCGGAAAATGTTGGGTGGGCGTGTGTGTGTGTGTGTGTCTGTGTTTGTTTGAACTTACAATATTAATCAAGACCGTTTGTTGCTGCCGCTGGCGGCGGTGGCATCGGCGGCATCGTCATTGGCTGCTCCTCCTGCGAGTCCAGCGAGAGTCGCGACTTGGCCGCCGTCTCCATGGACTTCCAGGTGCCGCCACTGGTCGCCTGCTGCAGCGATATGCGCGGTATGGACTTGCAGCTGCCCGCCAGTGTGGATGCCTCCGAGCCGACACGATCCTCGGACTCGGCCAGAGCGCTCAGGCTGCAGGTGGGCGGCAGAATGCGATGCGGAAAGCGCGGAGAGCCACGGACGCGCTCCCTCAAACTGGGCGCCGGCTGTGCCAGCGAGGGACGCCGACTGTTGGGCAACTGAAAGTTCACCTTGGTCTCGGGCAGCTTAACGTACTTGCCGCCGCTCGCATTCAGCTCCTGCTGTTGCAGATCGAAGCGCTCACCGCAAATGGTGGGTATGGGCAAAAAGTTGGGATCCTTGGTCAAATGATCGAGATGTGTGCCGCTCTTGGTCAGCGAGCCACGATGTATGGGCTGCAGATGTGCACCGTTGGCGCCACATTCAACCGCTTCCAAGCTATTGTTGGCCTCAACGCCCAGAGGATTCGCATTGCTGTAGATGGCATTGCAGGAGGCCGTCTGCGAGGAGGGTATCAGCCGTGTGAAGAGGCCCATGTGCGACTTAAAGGCCGCCTTCAGACCCTTCTGATCCGCCAGACTGGCCGTGGAGCCCTTGTTGCTGCTTGTGGTGCGTGAGAAGATGCCACGCAAACGATCGATGAGCCCAGTTTTCGCCTCGGTGGCCTGCTGATGGGCCAACCGGAGATTGAACAGATCCTGTGCCGGCAGACAGGCCTCCTCCAGCTGCGGCTGCGAGGCAAAGGTCACGGAACGTCTCATCGGTATCTGCATATACTCTGCCGATGGCCAGCTGGCGCGTGGTATTACGGGTGGCAAAACGGAGAGCAACAGATTTGGCAAAATGCCCGAAATGCTGGGCGTGCGCGACTTGGCATTCCCCGCCCCAGCCCCAGCCGCTGCTGCAGTCGTCGCCTGTGAGATGCCGCTGGTCACAGTCAGCTCGGGCTTCAGATGACTATGCCCGGCCAGCAAGGAGGTGGAGGAGGAGGTGTTCGTCGAAGCCGTGCCCAGGCCGGACTCGAGCATGCGTTCCAGCTTGCGTATTTCCGCATCGAGCGCCTGTATCTCCTTCTTGTAGACACGATTCTGCACCTCGACTCGATACTGCAGCTCCCGGCGATCATCGAGGACAAAGCGACGCGTATTACACTCCATCTTGAGGCCCATGCTGTGTATCACAGGATCGATGATATCGTCTGCGGAGGAGAACATTATGAAAATCACCCAATCTGGGCGACTTGCAGCTCGCACACTTACTGCGTGCCCAAATGTCGTGCAGCTTGGGTATGAAGAGCAGGCAAAGAGTCGCCGTGGTCGAGCTTAGAATCAGGCCCGTTATCGTGAGAAAGGCAAGCGTTACGCGCTCCGATATCAAATTGGCCAGCACGACAACAATGGCGCTGGTAATGACAACACTGTAGACCGATACGCCTATATACTGGGAGTCGTTCAGGGCGGCTATCTTCACGTGACGCGTCTCCCAGGCCATGTATACGCCCACCACCAGAAGCAGACCCTTGTAGGCATAGAGCACGCCCAGCCAGGTTTGGGTGTGCTGCGAGCGACAAACCTCGACCTATCGTTGAATGGCAAACGAAAAGGCAGTCATGTTTAGGGGGGGCGGAGGAGTAGTTCGAACATAGATGTGGGCGTTAATTTACAAAGCTGAGTCTGTCAAGAGACACCAGCGAGTGCTCTAGTCGTCAGTGCCCGACTAGGAGATGCCCTTCATTATCTATGTAACCTCGGGGCTTATAGTCCGAGCTGTATGCAATTTTCTATACGATCTGTCCGATCTGTAATTTTCTACATTCCGAGTTATTCTTAAGAGAATATGTCTCAAAATTTATGTTTGTCGATGTTACTTACGATGTGAAAAGATATCGAAAAAAGATGATAAATTTAAACTGCGTTGGGTAGTGGAGAATTCATTTCTCAAATTTTAGCTCTTGAGCTTTTGTAGTGTCCGAGAACGGAGCACAGACAGACAGACGGACTCGGAGCTCGTCATCCTTATCAAAAATATAAAATCGAGCTTCTGATGATTTCTTCTGTCTGTAAGATACATTTGCACATAAGCAATATACCCTTTTTTTTTTATCAATTTTCATTAGCCATAGGGTATAAAAACAAGGCATTTAAATGGAACAAGGATTGGGCGCAGGAGTGGGTGTAGGAGATGCACAAGACTAACCTGCGGCTGGTAGACAACGCTTCGATCAATGGCGCTGATTTCGAGTGTCAAATTATGCAAATGCCTTTCCATGGGATCGGCAACGACCCACAATGTGACGAGCAGGGCATCGACAAGCAACAGGCCGCACACGAGCAGTATTAGCTGAATGTCCTGCAGCATTTTATCCTTAAACACGCTGCCGGTGCGTGTGAAGATGCGGTGCACCCGATATGTTTTCGCAAACATTGAGCCAAATGCCAATGAGAAACCAGCCGAGAGCAGATACACGCGTGCCTAGAGGGCGGGATGACGATGAGAGACAAAGAGAATAGGCATAAGCTGGTGTCAGGTTGTGAAAGTGTGTGTGTGTGTGTTTGTGTTTTTCTGCTCCTAAACAAGTCATCAATGGGCTACGTAACAGGCTAAAACAACAACAGCCGAGGACTCCAAGGAGGCATTCTCAAATTTATGCAAAATAAAGAATATCACAAAAGTTGTGAATTTACGTGTCCGTGTCATGTGTTTGCCTTTGTTAGCTATATCCCCCTCCCCGCATACCCCCACACATTTCATATACCCAAACTCTGGGCATTACATGTGCCAAAAACAACAACAGGCCCAACATGTAGCACACTCTGAATTTCCCTCGAGTCGCATTTTTGACGGTAGGCTGGCAAAAACAGCAAAAAAAAAACAAACAACAAGAAAAAAACGCAATGCCGATGACAAGCGCATCAAATTGGACTTTATGATTCCGGCCGTAGAGCTCGTCTAGCCCAAAGTGCGCGGTAAAGTTAAAGATTTATTAAGCTTGGCAAAAAGATTTGGCTTTAAAATTGCAGCTATTTATGGCGCAGCCGCACACACAGTCCAACAATCCAACAACTCAACAACTTTCATAAATAAAATAAGCAAAAGTACTTAAGCCCAGAGTTTTGGGTTAAGAGATACCCTGTCAAAGGATACCCTTCATCAATTCATGCAAGCTAGACTCAGACTAAGATTGCTATTCTTGGAAGAAAGGAATATATTCGAAAGACCAAGTTGTGGAATAAGAGCATTCTTTACTTTCTACTAATATGGCATATCGAGCTGATGCATTCGACAAAGATTTAAAAAGCCAAGCTAAATAAAAACTTTACATCGTTGTTCCTACTTGCTGGAATGTATGGAAAACCCACTGTGTTTATTATTCCTTTCTTTTTGGAACTTAGACTCTTTGACTTTGAAAGACAGCTGTGCTGTATGACTTGACTGTTATTGTTGGGTCCTTCGGTCTGTTATGCTCACACTGCTTGAAGCCAAATGGTTTTACTGGGTATATAACAAACACATGTGAGCGACGTGAAAGTTGCGCTGAAACTGAAAGTCATATTTGATGAGGCGAAACTGTAGGTGGTATTGTGTGTGTGTGTCCCCCTTTTGAACTCCCACTTGGAGGCTGTATTGCTTGCATAACCGAAACTCAAGCATAGGCTCACTGGGAGAGAGACTGCCAGAGTGCCTGGCAGACACTTGAGAACTCACCGTGCAAACCGTGGCAAACGAGTCGACCGCCGAGGGCAGCGTTGAGTGGTCCAGCCCCAACAGGATGACGGTGGCATAAACGAAGATGCAACCCACAGCGGTAATGTTGCTCAGCTTCGGGCTGGAAAGTTTAATTGCTCTGTGGAGATGGAGAGATGTTCAGGTCGTTCGAGCAACTGGGACGGGGCCGCATTGAGTGTGGACTAAGACAAGGCTTGATACTTACTTGAGCTTGCGGAAGTGCAGATTGAAGGCGAGAAACGCAATGGCCAGCGCAATGCCCACGCTGGATAACGTCGCGATGGTGTAGAACGCCAGCGGTGCGATGGTCGCCACGCGCAGCTTAAACACCCGCTTGGCGATGGGCACCTGCCCGCTGTGCCACTTGACCGGTCGACAGCGCGGACAGCGAAAGTCCAGGGCATCCGTGGCCGGATAGTAGAGCGCCACCGGCTCCAGCAGGCCGCGTTGTATCTGATAGAAGGCGGTGGTGCCCACGCGATCCGGACCACTAAACGAGACCGGACCCTGTCGGTGCCATAAAAGTGGTTGGGTGGATGGGTTAGTTAACCAGCCGGGTCGTTGTCCACTTACCGATACGCCCAGAAAGTGAAGCTTGCCCAGCTGCTGCAGGAACTCCCAGGCCATGTCGCTGCGCGTATAATCGAAGCCATCCAGCTTGGACTTTGCCGCATTCTGGCGCCAGTGCGTCTCGGCGGCGCGCAAGGCCAACGCAATGGCCCACACGGCATCGTAGGTTTGGGGCGCGTACCGGGATATCGCATCCGGTAGATGATGACTGGCAGTGCCACGCCTCTGGCGCGACCGCAGATCCGCTTGTGGTGCCGCCGGCTCCTGGTTGTGAAACTGTGCAAATTGTTTACGCAGCTGCGAGTTGAACATGTGATTGTTCTATATAGAAATGCAAAATTGCAACGATTAAATCGACCGCTCATCAACTATACGAGCCGAACCACAGCTCAACCCTCCCCTTCGCCATACCCCCCTCAATCGTAATGAGATTGCCAGCTCATTATGCGCCGCCGATTTCATGGCTGGCACTAAAACGATAATAAAAACCATTTTTATCATTGCCTCGGGTCCGCTTCGAATCAAATGTAGCATTTCATTTGGGCTCTGCGCGTGGGGAGCTGGCAGCTGGATCTGGCCTCGTGCTGGATTTGTGTTAATGTTATGTCTTTATTTCATTCGAAAACGACAAAAAAAAAAAACAAACAAACCTATCGAGCTCTATAGCTTGTAATCTTGTTTGGCGTTCGCTTAAAGGTTAATATGTGTTTAATTTCTTGTTTTAGCCTGTACCCATTGAGGATGGCTAAGTAAAAGGGTATATTGTATACCCGGATATGCCCGACTAAGAGACTATGATTCTTCATCCTTTAATATCACACAATTAATGGGAAATCTAGTAATGAGTCCGTGCTTTATGAAATTTTCAGGCCATAAATAAGTTATCCAAATGTGCATAAATAGTAAAGCCAAAATATATATCTGAAAAATCTTTTCAAATTTTGAGGAAACATGGAGCTGTCTTTCTTATACAAGAAACTACTTCTCAAAAAAACATAATTTCAAAATCGATACTTATCGATTTCTTGTGAAGTTTTTGGAATACCGTGTTCAGGGAAGCACATTGAATGTCTTATAATCGAATTTATCCCAGATTTTTATATATTATCCATACATTTTGGACTATACTATTACGATATATTTCTGCATAATTGTGCTGGTTCTTGTCATTCAAAGAGAAACCCAATCGTTGTCTCCGCTTACCAGTCCGCTGTAGCTGACATTGTTGCCCACAATGCTGTTGTGTGTGGAGACGACAATGAGATTCTCGACGGCCAGCTGCAGCTCATGCTTTGTACAGGGTGTCTGTTGGTCGGTCCACCAGGGTGCGCCCATGCTCTCGTGCAATATCCAGGCGTAGTCGGCGCCAAACATACGCAGCCTGTAGGCCTCGCAGAGTATCTGCGGTGCCAGCTCCTGCGAGAAGCTGCCAATGATGATGCGTGTGTCCGTCTCCTGCGTGGCAAAACGACATATTGGCCACGTTTTAACTCAGCACGTTAATCGACGCTTACCCTGAGGAGCAGCAGCTGCTCCTTGAAATCGGTGGCCGCAAATGTGATTGTTGCCGCGCATGAGATGTTCGCCGCCTCCAGTTCGGTGACCAGATTGTTGACCGCCAGCGAGTGCACCTCCTCGTTCTGTGAGAATGTTGTCACGGTGCCCCAGCCAAAGCGCCGGATGAACGCGATCCGCGCCGGATTGTGCGATGAGTCCGGTGCAACTGTGCGATAGAAGTAGGGAAATTCCCGTCTGTCGCTCAGCGCCGGCGATGTCGAGCCAAAGGAGACCTATAATCAAGAGCCAGTTAGCAAGTCAAGCAATTGTTACGTGCCACCTCGTGGCACCCACCCCCCGCTGCCTGCATGTGGCAGACAAAGTTTTGTGCCACGCATGTGTGCGTCCCAAAGTTTCGGCCCATTTAGTCGCCACATACGCGACTCAGGCAGTCGAAAACTGAACTTCAAAGGCCACAACTCGGCATTTGCATGCAGCGCGCTTCCCACTGAATTTATGTTGCTCCTCCCCCTCCCCCAACCCCACACACACACACTCCTCTGGTAGTCAACTCACCCACTCAAGAACACAACCATATTTACGCATTTCTTGTCTAATAACACGGGTCTACGGAATTATGAACTTTTTATGGCAGCTTCATAACATTTTATGAGTTTATTTAACTTGCTTGGATTAAATAATGAGTACAATATAAAACTATGTACTTGGATTCCACTTTAAATAAAATCTAGAACTTAAAGGTCTTAAAAGCAAGAAAACACACTGACCATAATGTTAGGAATACATTTAGATTCCATTCGAAACTAATTCCAAACTTGAAGGTCTATAGCAAAAATTAACCTTGGCACACTGAAGAAAAAGTCTAAGGATCGAGCTCCCATAAAGACCAAATATTCTTGCCTTTTCTTTACTTAAATATGCTACCTTAATTGCTGCACATAAATCACACTAAAAGTAAATAAATTAAATAAAAAGCTATCTGCGGCACAGCAAAGGGTATACGAATAGGTACATCAGAAATATTTGCAGCTCAACCGAATAAAGGTTCTTCCCTTCCTATGCTGTTGAGCAGCAAAAACATGTGGCTTGGGAAACAAAATGAATGTTGCCTGTTTATAAATGCCAGAAAGAAAATTGTGCTGTCTAGTGTAATTTGTAGAAGGCTGTTTATTTGAGCGCGGAAATGTTTATTGGCTGCCTTTTGAGTTTAGCTTTCGTGGTATTTATGCTAATCGAGTGAGTTTCCTTTCGGCACGTGAGTTGATTAAATTTTTGAGTAATAGCCCCAGCATATTTGCATATTTTAATCAGCGTACCACCCGAAAACCAGCAGAGCCTGATTGAGCTGAACTTACCTGCACAATGTTCCAGTAGGGCACCACCTTGGCCAGGCTTTCGGTTACCTCCGAGCAGGCGGAGCCCAGCAGCATCATCATGCGTGTCGAGGGCTGCGTATAGATGGCATGAAAGAAACGATCCACGCCCACGCCTGGATCACACTGCAGTCGAAGAAGTAAAACGGAAAGGTGTAAGCAGCACCGAGTGGGGTTAACTTAAGGAGTAGCTGCTGGAGCAACAGTAGCAGCAACAGCCATAAAAGAAATCGCGCGTCAAGATGGCGCAATAAACATTTTTAAAATGTCGACTTTCAAGTTTTGATAGGAGATGCCGACGCCCAGATATGAGGCGATTCCGAGCGACTTCAAGTCTCGCTTCGTGTGTCTCCAAGTGCCATCAAATCGCGGCCCACAACCCGCTGCTGCCGCCGCTGCTGCTGCTGCTGTTCGCAATAAAAATCAAGTAAAAAAATCATGATGCAATCGGATGCAACCGACTGCGTAATACACTGTTCACGATTTTAAAGCAGCTGCCGGCAAATGCAGAGACCTGTGATTCTTACACTGTGACTCTTATTTAATGACTGTTAAACTCTGTTTTAAAACTATTTGCATGAATCTTACCATTATTGAATGGCCCGTTCGCGGTGTTTAAAGAAGTATCTGACTCTAAAACTGTAATGAATAGACAGTGACTTTTAAACTGTAGTTTGTAAGACTACAATATAAATCTTACCACTGTGTAATACATAATCAAAATCAGAAGAAGAAAGTAACCTTCTTGGCATAAGTGATTCTAAAACTTTGACTCTAAGGCAGTGACTGTTAGACTGTGATTCTTATAGCTGCATGTATAAATCTTTTCAATGCGTAATGCACTGTTCGCAGTGAAAAAACAGTTGAAAATGGATAAAACCTAGAACCTTCTTATAGCTGCATGCATGAATCTTTTACTATGTAATATCTGTTCGCGATATGAAAATAGTTAAAAAGGATAAACGATCAGTCTTCTTGATATAACTAACTCTCAAACTGTGTCGTCTGTAAGTGCATGGTTGAGAAGAAGCTTAAAATCAGCCTTATCACAATCAGTGACTTTTCAAATGTGACATCAAGGCAGTGAATTTCAAACTGTGCCTTTAATAGTGCATGTCAAATAGTTTAAAAGAGATAAATATCAGACCTATTGATATAGGTAATTCTCTGTAAGTCAAAGACTGTGTCTTTAGACATTATTCCCTTTAGTTAGTTAGTGACTTTAAACCGTAACCATAACCAAATAAGCTCCTTAATAATTTTCAAACAGAGTATAAAGAAAAAACGTTGATGACAAATTTCTTTTTAGCTGCTTGCCCCCTGCTGCTGCTGCTGCTGCGCTTGCAGATTTTTCTTATTAAGTTTTAATGTTGCACGCGCCACTAAATGAAATTTCAATTTGGTAATGGAAAGACGAACCCAACTGTGGGCGACACTCACCTGCGTATCGTTGGTGACCAGCTCGAGGGTATAGCCGGGCAGCAGCTGCTTGCGGTTGATGTGCTCCACGGCCATGGTGGCCGCGCCCAGTTCGCTAAGCCCGTCCGGGCGCGGGCCGCGCTTGGTGGACAGCTCAAACAGACCGAGCAGCACGATTTTGCCATGATTGCGCTGGATCTCAGCGTGCGACATGCGACGTTCGCTCTCGAACACCTGATTCACCTTCAAATAGCGCTGCTGCTGCCAGCTGCTCAGATTGGCGGCCAGAGCCGTGTTTGCCGTGATGGTCGGCAAATTGCTGTGCGAATTGAGACGCTGTCGCCGCTTGACTTTCAGCCCATTGCCACTGAATGCGGCACGCTGCTGCGTCTCGCTGTCCGGCAGCTGCAGTGCCTGCAGCTCGGCGGACGACTCCATGCCGGCGGCGGCGGCAGCCAGGCCAAGCGCCAGCAGCGCGGTCAACAGCAGCAGCAGCCGCTGGCGCTGGCCATTTGGGCTCGAACTCACGTGAATTATGCGCATACCGTTTTGGCTAAATGGCCACTGGCCCATTAATCAGCCCAGCATTTGAATTCCGCTATCTCTCGCACGGATGTACGTGGCAATAAACAATGTTTGTCCAGGCGCCGTTTATTTATATATGTATATATATATATATAGCTCTATCTATTGCTCTTTTATGTAGACACTTGGCGCACTTCAGCTCTTCGTTTCTGCGTTCTGTATTTGGCGTCAATTTTATCGCCTTTTTATTGGCCTCACTTTTGGTCTCATTTTGTTTGCCTGACCATTTGCCTGGCTGCCATTTATCTGTTCTCGCACTGGGCACACACTGTAAAGGGAATGTGGCTCATAAAAATATGCACCCATACGCCCAACAGCAGAACCCTTACCCTTACCCTTTACCCTTCCCTCTGCCCGCCAGCAATCGCTGGCACTTGCAAATGAACAAAAAAAAAACAACAAAACGAAACAATTGCCAGTTGGCCTGTTGGCAGTTGAGAAAGGATTAAGTCTTCGATGAAATGAAAATAGCCACACACACCCATCACACACTCACAGACAAACACACACACACCCTTTAGATACACACACGCACACACTCAAACACACACACACACGTGGCTATCAAGGCTATCGTGAAATGCCAAAGCCATAGACTTTTGTTCAGATTGTCGAGTTGCTTTGTTGTTGCTGCCATTTGTGCCCTTTAAATGGAGTACATGCATTTTGTCACGTTATATGTAAGGCAAAACAGGATTCTTATAACAAAAAGTATATATATTTTTGCTAGTTACGTAAGCTTAACTTTTACTAAAGCTGGCTTGTCGAGGTGGTTATAGTTATTATATATTTATTGAACAATCGGCTAAAAACAAAAGTTTCTTGAAGTTTTAAAAAATGTGTTCTTCAAAGGTTTATCTGAGGGCAATTTGTTCGTAATAGAAGAAAACAAACTGCTTTTCATATAAGAATCGATCTACTATATTTATTGTAGTCCGAATAGGATCAAAATTTAAACTCCTTTTTTGCTGAATCTTATTTGTATCAATTCATATTTTGTATCAAAATCTTTTTCGTTTGCTTGTTTGTTTTGTTATACACCTTGTTAGTTAACTGTGAACCTAAAAATGATTTATCGATATCGGAAAGTAAGGAGAACGAGTCGATGAATTCACAATATAACATGAAAGGAGAGCCTATATGTATAGGAAATATGAGCTTTCTAGCCCTTATCACCCACGAGATTTGCTCAAAAAACAAATACGTTCAATCGATAATTATCGATAACAGCGATATCTGGAATATCTGTCTTTCTAATGTTAAATGCGAGGGCTTGTATTACAACTTGGATGTCTCTTGCACTCCCGTAACCCTCTCTAGATCGACTCCTGTTACTTACATGTGCACCTTTCTTAAGCCTTTGTCTACAGCTACAGGGTATTCTTTTCGTAAGCTTGATTTTGTCTTTCAAACCTTTGGCCACATAAAGTATTTATTATTTAGCTTAGCGTTTGTTTGCTGCATTAATTGATGCCCATTCAGCTCAGACTTCGAACTCCAACGCAGGAGAGTTTGTGTCTATCGAAAGCTCAATTCCTGGCGTGTGGCTTGTGGTGTGTCGTCCTTTGAGGATTGTTGCCTTTGATACGATTTTTTTGTTTTGCTTGTCAGGCTGCCGAGAATTCTACCAGTGCATAAACCCTGTGGTCGAGATCTCTATGACAACTACAAGAGACTGCTGCACACGTTCGCTCGGATTTCTTGATGAATGGGCGTGGTTGGAGTCCTTTGCGGTAGCTGGCTACAAAAAGCTTTTCAAGTGTTCCAGGGATAATTCAAGTGAATCTCGAACTACCTGTGGCCCAAAAAAAATGAAGAGCTTGGCCAAAAGAAACTTTGTTGTACAATTGAATTTGTTGTTTGTTTAATTAAATGTAATTAGGGCTGTTTTTTGTTTAAATGTTTTCTAGCATTGCGCTAGCAAGCTTCCAAAGCCAACGACCCAAAAATTTCTATTGTCTGACTTTAAATCAACTCTGAAGGGATTTTATGAGAGTAAAGCAGTTATTTTCCAACACTAACTTTGCAAGTATACAGTTTAAAAATGGAATAGAAGGTTGTTGGAAAGATTGGAAAGTGCAGATTAAGATAAATTAAGTAAAGATAATACTGCCTAAGAATACAGCTGCAAATACCCTAAGGATTTGGTATCATTCTATTGTCTAACTGTCAATCAACACTAAAGGGATTTCATATGAAAAAAGAAGTGTTTTCAACACTAATCAGTTAAGAAATAGGTCGAAAATTGGTCTAGAGAGTGAAGGTTCAGATAAATACATTTTATAAGAACAAAGCTGCTTATGATTTTTGAATGCAGTTATGAATACCCTTAGGATTTAATATAAGAGCATATATTTTATATATTCATTTTATGTTATTGATTTATTTATATTTATAACCTTAACACGGCATTTATATTATATTTTTTAGATTACTTAAAATTTATCGTCTCTAAGTTAAAGCTTGATTTTAATTGCAATTATTCAATTTTTTTTGTTTAAGTATAGATAAATTTGTTAAGTTGGTAAAAAAGTTTGCTTCAGGAAGCTTTGAGGGAATAACTTGTATATATTACTTAAAAAGTGATTGCTACTTACTTTTTATGACTTTTTGCCTTGAAATTTAATAAAATCGCAATTCTATTTATTTTTTTTACTGAAGATAGATTTGTTAGGTTAATAAAGAAGCTTACTTAAGACAGCATTGAGGGCAGCAATGAATGCCCTGTATGAAAGCCAAGTATTGAGACCCTTACAAGATGTTTAATAAATAAACAAATGAAAACAATAAAAGTATTAGTTATAGCTAAAAATGTTTCGTTGGGAAGCTCAGCAGTGCGAAGCTTCCACAGTGAAGACACATTAGGAAGGCCGCTTGCCTACGCGTTTCAAGATGATTTTTGAAAGCACTTACTGGCTGTCTGCTAGAGTATTTAGTTTTCGGCTACTGTATCTGGTTTTTTTTTTACCATTTTTTTTTGCGTCTGTTTTTGCTGTCGATGGTTGCCTTTTGCTCATTGCCCATTGCCCATTGCCCATTGCCAGTTGCCAGTTGCCAGTTAGCCCATTGGCATTATTTTTTATGCTAATGGCAAAACATTTTGCGCTTTCATTTCGAGGCTTTTGGGCTACTTTTGAGCATCACGCGCCACAGATTTCTGTGTATGCACGTATGCATAATTGTTTCGAGATTACTAAAAACAAACACACGCACACACACACACGCACGCACACAAATACAGAACTGGGCGCTTTCTTGCGTTACGTTTCGTTTAGTTTTCTCGAAACGAGAAACGCGCACTTTTTGCCGTGTCCTTAAAATAACTTTTTGGCCCATTTTGTTTCTTGGCTTTTGTTTTGCCTTTCGTTAGCTTCGCATTGCATGTTGAGTTCTCCATTTGCCAGGCAGCAGCAGCGCAGCAGCAGCACAGTGGCAGCAGCGGAGCGTTTCTCTCGCCCTCACATATATAGCTGTACATCATTTAAAGCCTTTGACAAGACTTTAATACACATGTCGCTGGCGTCGCCTAAAGTTTGGCGCAACTTGACATTTGCCCCACTGTGCAGGCGCGCACACATTGCTGCCACTTCCCCCCAAGCTTCCCACCATCCCACACTTGTTGTTGGTGCATGTCAGCGGGCTACTTGTAGTTACATTTCATACATTTTACATTTTTATTTTATGCTTTCTGCTTTCTGCTTGTTCTCTGCTTTCTTTCTATTATTCTGCCATATTTCACAATTGTTGCCGTGGTATTTAAACCTGCACTTATTTATGGGCATGCAAGCGTGTGAGTTTACCACAGTCGCCCCCCGTCTGCCGCCCACCGCCCACCACTCGCCCGTTCCCCCTGGGCTCTGTTGCTGTTGTTGTGCTTGACATAAATTATGCAAACTGCTGCCTGCATTTGTAATTGTGATTACATTTTTCTAGCTTTGCTCATATGTGCGTGTGCGTCTGTGTGTGCGTCTGTGTGTGCGTGTGTGTGCGTATGTTTCGCTTGTGCAGTTCGTTGGCATTTCTTGCAGGCGAATCACGAAGGCAGCTGCTCGAAATTGAGCTGCCCAAGTGCATTCTTATGCACTTGAATCTGCTGAATAGTTGATGCGATTTGTTATGCACGTTTTTCACTGCTTCTACTTGGCCAAACACACACGCACACACACGGACACTCACAAAAACATTTATTATTCCAAAAGCAACACAAAAACCGGATTTACACTGGCATAACCACAATATAAAATAAAATAACCAGCAAATATAATACATACATATATCCATATTGTGTATACATATATGTTAAATCACATTGAATTCGAGCTTTCTCATGTGACCTCTCCTGTATCGTTGCGGCACTTCTTGGCTATAATATAGTATTTATATTATCGTCTTTCTGCATATTTGAGCGCTCAAATGCCAAGAAACTGAAAGCCATATTCAATTTATACAAAATTAGCTTTATTCAATTTATACAAAATTAGCTTTATAGTTAGCTCTGGGCTTACTGAAAGGCTTTAAGACAGCTTTACAGTATATATAGAGATGCATATGTAAAAATATATATATATTACTTATAGCTCTAGGCTTATTGAAAGGGTTTGAATCAGTTTTTTTTTGTATATATATACATATATATACATATATCATGCTTGACGTATCAAGTCTTTAGGCTTAAGAGTCTTCGTCTACAAGTGCAGTCACTCGGGTGCGTCTCAAGACCTCTTGATTTTGATGCAAGTTTTTGAAATATATACTAGATATAAAGATTCTTTAATTTAAGGCCTTACTTTATCTGCATTAGGTTTTTATTACAGTCTGATCCAAATAATTGAAACACCTGTTATTGGTTCCATATTTCCAATTACTGCCTTTTCAATTTATATTCTATACTTTTAAAGATGGTAAATAGATTAAATAAGCCAACAACAGAACTGTCAGTTCTTAAATCAATTCCGTCCCAAAAAGTATGCTATGCAAATTTATGTGAATTTGATATGCAAGTGAGAGTCATATCTTTGGTGGATTAGGTTATAAAAAGGTTTATTGGATGGTTAAAATTTACAACACTGGTTAAATAAGAAGAATGTGATCAATGTTTCCACATGGTGTACAGAGCATGAATAATAATAAATATCAATATATATTGAATCATATTCATGTTCATTGAATGTTCTTTGAGCTCAATTAAAATGCAGAGCATGCTTGATAATGTCTACGCTATTGCAATTCGTTTTGACTTTAACGAATTCAAATGAATCCTCAATAAAATCTCCGTAGGCTAAGATGTTTCTCTGGATCTCATTTAATTGACAAACGTTTTTTTTATATTTGCAGAACATGTTGGTATTGGGCAAGACTTAAGCTCAACAGTCGGGTATGTACAATTCTGTTTTCACTTTGTATGATTAAAAACAATGTTAATTCTTATTTGTATTTTGAATTGTTTGCTTTGTTTTTGTTTCATTTACACTTGAGTTAAAGCTAACTCAGTTTTGGCTTTTGAAATGTTTAAAGCTGTCGCTTATGAATTATGGCACTCTTTTTATAATTAAATTGTATTGTGGTTATTCCTATTATTTGTTATTATTGTTAATTAGCATAATTATTATTATTTTTAATATTAACATTTCTAATATTTATATTATTATTATTATTATTATTATTATTATTATTATTATTATTATTATTATTATTATTATTATTATTATTATTCTTATTATTATTATTATTATTATTATTATTATTATTATTATTTTTATAATATATTATTATTATTACTATTATTATTATTATTATTATTATTATTATTATTTTTATTATTATTATTATTATTATTATTTGTTATAATATTATTACTTATATTATAGCAATAAACATTAATAGTTTTTTATTATTGTTTCTTATTGTCATTTTTAATTTGATTAATATTGTTATTATAACTATTATAACTAGTATTAATAAGTATTATTAGTATTTAAATTTCTATTATTTTAATTTATCAATATTATTTATCGTTATAATTATAATTACTTGTTATATTAAATTATAAATTATTACTTTTTTATATTAATAGTTTAATTAACTAGCTTTTAAGCATAATTTGCACATATTATTTCCGCATTTTATTTATATTTTTAATAACCCCAACACAATATTACGTATACGGCCCCCAAACACATCGCACACATACTTTGATGAAAGCACTCTCACAATTTTCTTACAATTATTATTAATTGCATAAAATACGCAAATTAACTTTTGTGCGTAAATTGTTTCTTAATTTTCCGTTGGCTAGCGGCCGGGCAGGGGTCGGGGGGGAAAGTGAACGGCCCCGAAAAGTTGGTGCGCGTTGGATTCACGAGGCGAGGCGCACGCGATGAGCTCCAGACCGCAACTGTTGTCGGCAATTGAATGCGCGCCGCTTTTCTGATAAAACGGCAAATTGAAGAAGCATTGCGATTGATGTCAATCTGATTGAAGGATGCTGCTGCTGCGGCTACCATTCAATGGTAAATGGTCCAACAATTTCAATCGGCTTTCAATGCTCTCACCGCATTGCGCAGGCGTCGCAGAAAAGGCGCCAAAATTCATTCATGAAAAGCAACAGCTTCCGCTGGAGAGTGTCTGTGTGTGTGTGTGTGCGAGTGTGTGTATTGCTGTGGCAATAAGCAACAAGCTGGCGCAAAAGTTGCGCCTGGGAAATTCAAAAAACGTGCCAAACAACTTTAACTTTAAATGCAAATTAATGCCCAACATGGAAACTAAATAATTTGCAACTGTCTTAATGAAAAATTCATTTACTATTGTGCAGCCAGCAGCAGACTCTGCCAGCAGGGTCGCGTGGAGGGGGCGAGGGGCGTGGGGGCATTGGAAAGCAGTTGGGGGCAAGTACAATAGAGTACAATAGCTGTCGGCAGTTGGCCTCTCGGCTGTCAGCCTGTCGATGCGCAATGCATTTCTTAAGCAGCCCGAAGGCTGCAATTGATGCTGGCACAATTGGTGCGTGCTGACAGCCAGGACACTTTTAATTATGGCTGCATTTGAAGACGTCTCTCGAATTTTGTATTCCAACATTTATTCATTATGCCTGACAGGATAAAATGCTCGCCGGCAGACTCTGTTTTCAGCTTGTGTTTTATGGGTAGAGCATTAAGTTTCGTGTAGCTCAATCTTTTGATTGAACAACAAGTGAGGTCATTTCAATAGGGAAAACAAAGTGATTGACTAACAATTGGCGGAGTGAAATAATTGGAAACTCATATGTGTATACGCTGAACCCCTTGAAAATGGTTAAAAAGGTACAAATGTTAACTGGCAAATATCCGATTCCATAGAGTATATAAGTATATTCTAGTATATATATCAGCATCAACAGCCGAGTCAATCGGTCCGTCAGTCCCTTTATCCGTCCGTCCGTATGTATTAACACAAGGATCTCAAATCTTTGAGAATAATATATCTATCAAGTTTCTTTTATTTTGTAGCTATCGCTAGGGTTCAGGGCATCCCCTAGCTAGCTTTTTCTTTACAATTTGAACATTTTTTGGTTTTTATTCTTTGAAAAGCATAAAATTTCCTGCGTAATTGTAAGCAATTCGTTGCCATTGATTTCGAAAACAAATCGTATTTATAGTACATCCACTTGGAGCATAATTTCCACTTTATTATTCCGAAGAGTTCATTTTATCTCTGCATTAAAATCATTGTGCTTATGTGTGAGTAGCTGCTAGAGATGAGCGCGTGTCACGTATCTCTTCGAATGCGTCACGAACTTACGCTTAAGTTTAAGGTCCATCATTTATAAGTCCGTGGAACATCCTATAAACTGAATAGTATATAGACATAGGTCAAAATTTCCCACCCCCGTATCTTGGTCAAATCTCATCATATTTTCATAAGGTTTGTATTTTTGTTCATGGTTTGGCCTCTAGTTCAATTTGGTTTCATAATCTGACAACATAATTTTTCAAATATCCTATATATGTAGGTGTAGACATAAGTCGAAATTTCCCATCCCCAAAACTCGGTAAAAACTCCACCGACTATCCTAAGGTTTTGCTCTTTCTTCATGGCTTGTCCTTTAGATCAATTTGGTATCCAAGCCTGGCAGTATCATCTTGGTCAAAATTCATGTTAAAATGTTACCCTCAAATGTCCTATATAGACATTGGTCGAATAAGCCTTTCGCGTTGAAATTCCCAATGAGTTTAAGCATTCAGCTTAATAGCTTCTAAGGCATTTGTATATGTGGAATCTACAGTAAGGGCAGAAAACGGATTTATAAACCGTTTGTTCATCGATAAGGACACGCATACGTTATATGGCTTCTCATGTGCATTCGTGTCACGCCAGAAAACACGACACGCGCTCCGCTCTATGAGCTGAGCTATAGCTCATTGCATTTGCCCTTAGCTCTTGTACAAAGCATTCGAGTTGAAGCATACAAATAATTTGATTTTTGATCTCTGCACATACATTTTTTGCGCCTTTCAAAGCGAAAAGCTGTCCAATAAAATGAAACACAAGATAGTAATTAATATTTGCGCCACGCACAGTTGATTCAGCTGCAAATTGAGTTGAATTTCTCAATGGGCTGCACAGCGTGCTGGGTAAACAGCGTACAACAAACTGAAAACTGCAATTTACACACACAATTTGCAAATAAACTTAACACCCAATGCTGGCAAATCCATTTGCCATGCATTTACCTACCCAGACCCAAGCTCCGTGTTGGGCCAAACTTTTTTGGTGGCAAACTGGCGAAAGAGATCTAGCTGCGAGCAGAGCCTTTAGCCACGAGGGTAGGCAACAACTTGCGATTATCGTCACTTGACTTGAGTTTTAGCCTAGGACCAAACAACTTGCAACCCCAAACGGCGCCAGGCAGGCCCACTTCATGCAAATTTGTTGCAACAGCGCAGCAAAGGAGCTGAAGAGCAGCTGGTTGCCTAGACGACAGCCAGAGCCGGAGTGGAGCTAGAGCCGGAGCTGGAGCTGTAGCTGGGCAACTGAGCGCTCCCACTGGGAATATATACAGTATATATATAATATATATACTATGTGCGACCTTATGCGCGGCGTTTGTGCAGCTCAACAATAGGCGCGGAATTTGGGCTTTAGTTTTGTTTTTTTTTCTTCCAACTTGGAGCTCAAATAAAATGCAATTACACCACAAAACTCAATTTCAAGTGTCAAAAAGTTGCGCTGCACTTAAGAAGTTAACGTGGCCCCTCCTTGCGGCCTTAGCCTTTGTTTTTGGGCCATTTCCATTTCGTGTGTCTCGAGTGGGCAAAATGCTGAAAAGTCTGAAAGCGGCCAAAACAAAATAAAGCGGATTACGTTGAATTTCGAAAATGGACAAATATGAAGGCAAACATGGCAGCCCAGAGAGAGACAGAGAGAGAGGGGGAGAGTTGGAAGCACTCTTGATGGGCCTAATGTGTGATATATAAGCCTTGTTTATATCATGTTGCCTTAGCTAAACTAATTTGCCAGACGGTCGAGAACCCACACACACACACAGACAGACACACACACAAACACACCTCATTTGCATTTGAAATGAAGCTGCCAACTTTTTATGTAGCCAGAAAAATATTCACATCACCTTTTTTGGGCGGCTTAAATAAAGTCTTATAATTCTGTCATGGAGTTGGCTGCGCTGTCAAACGGCAAAGAAATACGAATTAAATCTGTTATCCAAACTGTTGCCATGTCGAGTATTTGCCCAGCAATCGATCAGCCAAATTGATTTGCCAGTTGTGTGTCCTACTCTCTTATCTGGAAGCTAACACAAAATCACAAATCTCGTTTGTCACACTGAATTTATATATATATATATATATATATATATATATATTAGCTAAACATTTCTAGTATACTCTGTTGCCGATAAAATATATGGCATGCACACATGCAAAATCTGATTTGTTGTTGTTTCTATTGCATTCTACAATCATTTCTAAATGCTTGTCATTGACAAACAAATTGCAAATTTTAATTAAACTCTGAATGCTATTCTTAAATTGATCATATCTTTTTCAAACTTATCCGTTTTCTAATGGGCATATTATGTTTGTCATTTCTGTATTTCTATTTAATTAATTTATATTAATGTTTTAAATCAACTCGCTGCTAAAATCTGTTCGGATTATCATAACAAGCTATCTGTTCATTTCATAAACTATTTTTTCATATTGAAGCGGCTTAATTTGATTTTAATTTATTTAAAAAATAAATATACATCAATAGCAACAACAATTCATTTATACTTTCCGATAGTATATATATATTCCTTCGAAATCATATTTATTCTTTTCATTGATTTTTATACCCTGAACCCATTAAAAATGGGTATAAGGGTATATTGTATTT